GCGTACACACGCCTGTCTATAAACAGTGTTTGTATCTCAGTGTAATCAATCGATGGTTTATTGTATGAAAGGCCATCGGCCCATATACGAGCAAGTTACATAGACATACAGTTATATTAACAAACAGTGTAGTATGCGGAGTATCAAGACAACAGGCCCGTGAAGATCCGGGTTAGAATAGGTCTTCTGCAAGCCTTGCTTGCCGTAAGAGGCGACTATGCTTGTCGTAAGAGGCGACTGACGGGATCGGGTGGTCAGGCTGATTGACTTGGTTGATGCATGTCAATAGACATTCAAATGTATTGACCAGGCGGGTAAATATTCCATTCCTATTTTGTTATCTTTATACAGGAGTGAGTGAGTTGGGTTTAACGCCGCTTTTAACAGTATTCCAGTCATATCACGGCGTGTCAGCTTAATGTGGGAGGAAAGCCCGAAGTGATGCAGGTCTCAGACGTTTACCACTTCGGTGAAACCAACGAGCACGGGTATGGTGCTGACAAACCTAGAAACATAATCCGGGCGAACCGGGATTCGAACCAACAATCGTAGGTTTCTGGCGTGCCCAAGGGACGCAACTCTGCACAGCGAATCGCGGCGCCTTAGACGACTGGGCCACCCGTGCCCCCTCTTTATACAGGACAAATGAGCATAAAATTATATTCTTCTTCGATACCAAGGTTCCAGTCGGGGCGGATTGTTAGGGACTTTTCAATATCAAAATATCTTCCTTTATTCGCTGTCAGATCACTTAGGCCAAGTCCGAATCTAAAAGTGAAAGATACGACTCTGGTTCAAGGAGAGACTTAATATTACGATATTACGATGTGTCGTATCTTGAACTTACTGAAAGTGTAGAATGCCAATCCTGTCAAAACATATCTATAAAACAAAATTGTTGTAGAAAACAAATTAATATCACCAATAGATGAAATACAACTGTGTTATAAACGCTGTAAAGTCCCCATCCCAATAGCAATGACCGCCTCCGTGCATGGTCTAGTGGACCATCAGCTGCTAGGAGAGCGACGGTCGGGGGTTCAATCCCCCGGCCGCGCCCTACCAAAATATGTAAAAAAGATGATACTTGTTGCTGCGGCATGGTATCTCAGTGAACAGAAACTATAAAAACAGGCGTTAGTCCGGGCTAGTACATGCACAGAAGCTCCACCTCAGAGATGGGGGGGGGGGGGGGGAGGAAGGTGACAGTAAACATACACAACATTCGCCTGCCACGAAACATAACACCTGTCGACCAGAGAATGTGTAAAATATGTAACTTAAACCAGATAGAGTGAGTGAGTATTGTTTTACGCCGCTTTTAGCAATATTCCAGCAATTTCACGGCGGGGGACACACATTGTACCCATATCGGGATTCGAACCCGGGTCTTCGGCGTGACGAGCGAACGCTTTAACCACTAGGCTACCCGACCGCCCCTAAACCAGATAGAAGAAGATGCATGTCTGTATATATGTATATATGAATCACAATATTTTGTCATTTAAAAAAAATGCATCTGTCCCGTAATGGAATGTTTCTGCAATAAATATTATCTTATCTATCTTATTCTATCTTAGAAGATGAAAAACACTTCCTTCTTACTGTCCGAATTATAGTTACGAAAGACAGTTACTTCTTCAAACACTGGATTTATTAAACTGCAAAAATATTAATATTGTTACAAGTATCTTGAACCCATGCCCCGAAAAACAAAATGTGTTACACAAATTATCTCAAACATGTTTATTAAAAGAACCTCTCATAGACAACGTCTAGATTTGACGTTAAATCTTTACTCCAACTTTTGTGACTTATCAATACAGTATCTACACTTGAGTTTTCAATACAGTATCTACACTTCCCTTATCAATGCAATATCTACACTAAGTGTACGCTGCCAGCCCCCTCATGATATACTAGCATATAAATGTTTCTATACCGTGAATACAAATATATATAACATCTCTTTATATAATGTACAGTATGTTGATCTACCTTTCATGCCTATAATTAAAGTTACTCCCAAATGTAGATAGCTTGTACCCTGCTCTACGAGGGTGTTCTGTACAATAAAACTCTTGATTCTTGATTCAACATCCATGATAGAGTATCGTGTAGACACACAATTAACTCAGCCAGCTCCACCTTAATGAAAGACTGCGTGAAGATGGCCCTGGCTGACAGACTCCGTTCTTTAAATGCGATCGGGTGTTTCCAAATGAAGTGAGTGAGTGAGTATGGTTTTACGCCGCTTTTAGCAATATTCCAGCAATATCAAGGCGGGGGACACCAGAAATGGGCTTCACACATTGTACTCATGTCGGGAATCGAACCCGGGTCTTTGGCGTGACGAGCGAACGCTTTAACCACGAGGCTACCCGACCGCCCCTCCAAATGAAGAGTGGGTACGGGTTTTGCAATAGTCCAGCCATACAGTAGGGATACAAGAAATGGGCTTCTGTTATGGTACACATGGGATTCGAACCCCGGTAATCGACGCCGACGATTTTTAACCAACAATAATCTTCATTTTTCCTCGAGTAGAGTGAAAGTGTATGGTTTTACGCCGCTTTTCTCAATACTCCAGCTGTTTTACGCCGTGGACGCCAGAAATGGACTTCACAAATTGTAGCCATGTTGGGAATCGAACTCGGATCTTTGGCGTGACGAGCGAACGCTATTACTACTGGGCTGCCCTATCACCCCTCCCCAAATAGAAGAGGAAACCAAAGCGTTCAGGTGTTGCATGTATTACACCGTCATGTAAAGTGAGTATGTGAGTTGGGTTTAACGCCGCTTTTAACAGTATTCCAGCTATATCACAGTTTGTCAACTTAATGTTAGGGGAAAGCTCCAAATGATGCTGGTCTCAGATGTTTACCACTTTGGTGAAACCAAAGAGCACGGGTATGGTGCTGACAAACCAGCGAATTGCCTCGCCTAAGACGACAGGGCTTCCCGTGCCCCCTTCATGTAAATATCGGGCGGTGGGGTAGCTTAGTGGTTAAAGCGTTCGCTCGTCACGCCGAAGACCCGAGTTCGATTCCCCAAATCTTTCCCCATTTCTGGTGTCCCCCGGCGTGAAATTGCTAGAATGTTGCTAAAAGCGGCGTTAAACATAACTCATTAATGTAATTAACGGGATTAAAGGGGTATACCTAAATGTTTGGGTATGTTGAGTGTCGCGAAGATCCGGGATTGATTCCCCACGTGGGTATAAAGTGTGAGGCCAATTCTAGGTGTTCCCGTCGTGGCAGGGGTAGTGCTTGAAGCGGCGTAAAACCTACTCACTCACTCATCACTGCAGGAATCACGTGGGGTGTTGATGCTGGGGTGTTGATGCAGGATCACACAGTTGGTCGGGAACATGGACAAAGAACCGTACCGGTGCGCTGACGCAAATACACTCGTTCAATGTCAATCGTCACGCAAGTAGGAGGTATGGATTTCTCACGACCGACTCACACACACACACACAATTCAGCTGAGCTCTGTCTACACACAGTTCTCACTCTGTTGGGGCTGCATACACGGCGGCGTGGGACATTCCCACACTCTGGCAATCCATGTAATTTATACCTGTATAATACTTGGGTATAACATTTGTCAACATGAATACACGTCCATCAAGAAACACATTTGGAAAGTGTTTGATTACTTGATGCCATATGTCATACATTTGTAAGCTATCCATTTCATCAAATCAAGAATACATTTTTTATTTCAGATTCAGAAATGCACAACGAAAGTAACTTACTCAGTGTACTTCTGTTAGGTTTCCTACTACGGTACTACTTCATGTACATATCCCTTGGCCACGCCAGAAACCTATGATTGTGGGTTCGAATCCCTGTTCGTCCCGATTATGTTTCTAGGTTTGTCAGCACCATACCCGTGCTCGTGGGTTTCATCGAAGTGGTAAACGTCTGAGACCTGCATCACTTCGGGCTTTCCTCCCACATTAAGCTGACACGCCGTGATATAACTGGAATACTGTTAAAAGCGGCGTTAAACCCAACTCACTCACTCACTTCATGTACATAAAGCTGAATCAGCACAAGAGTGTAAAAAATAATATGTCTAACGCATCCAATATAACCAACAAAATAATATCAAATGATGTTTCAAACTGCATCAATACTATCTTTTCCCATCAATTTTGCATGGTATAACATGTACCTCAACAGCATCGGTAATGTGACCATATCATGTACTTCGACTTACAATATTAGTTCCATTTGTTCTTGTTTGTTTTTGTCTTTGTAATGTTGAACGGTTTGAAGTTTGTCTCAAATATGGGATGTTCTTTGCAATAAATATCTTGTCTTGAATTTTTTTTTTTTTATATTTCTGTTTGGCCTGTGTCTCCAGTAAACACATTTTACAACTACAGATATAACGTGCGGAGAGTCCAGTAATATCTGTGACTTCGACGACGGTGTATACATGTCATCTTTTGTAATTTGACCATGAAACAAAAAAAGGTGAACAGAGGTGTTCTAATCACTCATGTGTGTGTGTTTGTGTGTGTGTGTGTGTGTGTGTGTGTGTGTTTCTGAAAAACACTCCATACAAATGCTTCACCACACAAAATACACATGCAGTGATGTATTATAGTTTTCATTTGTTTTAAAAAACATTCCATACAAATGCTTCATCACACAAAATACACATGCAGTGATGTATAATAGTTTTTATTTGTTTACTATAGCAAACAACACAACCCTAAAGAGAGAGTAATGTACATGTAGTACATCCTTTCCATCCAAACCATATTTTTCAAAATTCGATAAATAACATTTGACATGAAAAAAGTATTCTAGGGGAAATTAATCAACAATGATTCACCTACTCCGGTTTTGAGCCCGCCTTGATTCTGATTCATGTCAACATGCTGACAACGGCAGAAGCACGTGGTTTTGTTTACAACGGAAGTTGGTGATCCTTTTCCCGAGGTGAATATTTACTGTATCATTATTGGTTAAAACAGCGTGAGAACCAACATGGCGCTGTTCAGTAAGCCCATAACTGTACACAATACTTGTTATGAAATTGGACATTGCTGGTCGCCGTATTGTGTTCAGGCGTCCGTAGATGTTTCAAAAATCGTGTTTCAAGAGGCCTTTAAACTCTACGGTTCTCTTTACTTGGTGAGTTCTGAAATGAGGTCACAAACACTCCTACACCGAGCCGTCAACAGCCGATTTCTCTGAAATGACGCTAATGTTTTCATTCCCTAACGACAGGAAATGTTATGTTTTACAGTTCGCTGGTTTAAGCCATGGTTGTTTGTATATAATTGATTGGATACGCACCAGTGCATGGTTGTATGCATATATACCACACGTAACAGGGTGTATTCATGAGTTGGCAATTGGACCATGACCGCCAGTCCAGTCGCCACGAGTGACAACATGCATTTGATGCATGTTCATTTTGGACTTTGAACACGATGTAGAACATTATTTGGCTGGCATACCCATAATGTCCCCCACAATGACGAAGTGTGTATTATTTGGCACCACTGCCACAATTCCAAGCAGGCCATTATCACCAGTTTCAAGATCACAGTTGCACTTCATTCCTGTGGCTATAGTTTGGCTTGTCTTTCACCTCAACACTCGCTAAGGAATATTTTTTACATAATAGACAAGTATGAAAAATGTTGACTAAAAAGTACCATATGAAATGGCTGGCTCAACAGAGTAGAAAAATATAGAGTACCAATGAAAAATTGTTTAAATCAATGCCCAATGTACCCCAGGCATGTCACAGCTGTCCCTCATCACTCTATGAATCTTACAGGATATATTTTAAGTGCCTTGTTTTTAATGCTTGAGGAATAAAACAGGTCATCCCCCTGGTACCTTTAATTCTTTGATCATGCCATGAATTAGTGATTGTATAAACAGTACTATATGTACAATTAAGTTGAACATTGACTCCCAAGATAATGTGATTATGTCACATAGGCCTTATTGATAAAGGGAAATCTATGTCATGCATTAGATTATTAGATTGTTGTTTCAGCATAATAAGAATCTAGTGTCAACAAGTAGGTCATTTGTAGTGTACTGTGAAAAGTGCTATTTATTATATAAATGGTAAAAATAAATGAAATGAAAATTGTTTTGGTAAGCATGTTTAATTTACTGACATGGATTTGTGTGGTAAACTGTTTATTATTGACAGGTACTTTTATGCATCACATGTTAAATTTAGGTAGCATTATCAAGTTCACCTCCTGTAACTTAATGCAGATACAGAAATTAAGTATATGTAGTGTTAGATTACAAGTGCAAGTATTATGAGAAATAGTAATAGATTTTTCTTAGATCTGTATGTAACAGTATGATGAACAATACAGTGGCTAGTGGCAGCGTGTCAAGTAACCTTGATTTAAAGTGAATTACCGTCTTCAATGTAATAAGCGCCCAGGGCGCTCTCAAAATTAAAAATAGCGGGTACTTATTAGAATAGTATTTTGGTGAAAAGTTTTTGAGTTGAAAGACCGTAAATTTCGAAGTTTATGCTGACAGCCTGAAATGTGTATATATGACAGATATAATTTTCCAGAATTTAATTGCCCATAATTAAGAGACATATAACACATGAGTGTGTATTATACATGAATAAATAATGCGTGTGTACATTCATCAATCGGCAGGGGTGCTAATTGGGATTGTTCACAAGCCAATATATTAGCAAATATTGCTGTGGGCACTTATTAGAGTGGGGCGCTTATTACGTCGAATACAGTATATAAATTTAACATCGTAAGATATTTTCCTGTTCAATTTTACGGGCATGGGTTCCACTCACACCACACTCTCAAACTGTGCTGTTATGAAGATAGACATCGATTGATCTTTGTATACAATTGGTGATGATTAACCAGAATGATATTTTTCGTACGTACAGTCATTCATCTCACAACAACATGTAAATGCAGTATATCATTGCACAATGTTTGCCATCAGTTGGTCCAGGTATAAAACTCTCCACCATGTATATAGTGTAATGCAATCTCATTAAAATCAGATCTTATTTTTTGCTACCGCTAAACAAAGATCTGAGGACATCCCATTACGGGTCACGTCAGAACGACCTTTCGCGAATTTGGACCGACCAATGAAATGACTGACCAGAAATCGACATCAGCCAATCAGAAGGCAGCTTTCCTGAGCTTAACGACACTAGTTTCAAACTGGCGACTACTCTTTGAAACATATTTATGACGTACAGGTATTCTGGATTAAAAAAATTAAAACTGATAAGAAGAACATTCTGGAATGGCTTATAGATGGCCTAGATTGTATGGATATAATCATAAAACCCGTAACTGTCGTTCGGAATACCCCGTGTTAAGTATTTCGTGGTTGCATGATTAGAAAACACATTCCGACTGTCACTTTCATGATCTGGTAAGCGATGCTCTGATTGGTTGGATGAAAGGTCGTTCTGACGTGACCCTTAATGGGATGTCCTCAGATCTTTGTTTAGCATAGCGAGAACTAAGATATGATTTTAATGAGATGGAGCGTAATGTAAGACTTTAGCACGTAACACGGATTCACCGAGTCCATGACATGTCGCTTCATCTTTGTAGTGCAATGTCAAGACTATGATTTGGAGCTAATATGTATAACAAATGAACCAATCTGTGTTTTGCAATCACATGTAATCCATGCGTCCAAACTATTGTCCCTGTCAGAGTCGAACATATCGGGGGGTATTAATTAGGATACGGCAAAAAGAAACACAGTAAGTATGATCGATACTTCGTCATTTTATACACAGATCTGCGAATATTTTAAATACAGAAAACTCTCACAACAAAATAAATGAAACGTGAACAACAAACGCAATTGAAGAAACAGTTTGTTTCGCACATTGTTTTCTTTCTCTCCGAAATATGTGATGTAAATGGCCTTGGTCACATTTCCGTTGTTGAAAGAAAGTGGAGTATATGTTAATCCTTTAATTACACTCGTACGTAGGAAAGTAGAGAGCATAACTGGTCATTGTTAACTGTGGAAAGGAGAATGTCTGAGTGTGAAAAGGGTGAAGAATAGGTTAGGTTTGTTGACGATGACCGTGACTGGAGACTTACCTGCTAGAGAACGAACAGAGGGGTGGGCTTGTGCGATCAAGCAGTAACTTTGGAGGTAGCTTGTGCAATCAAGTGTGTAATTTTGTAGGTAATCTCTTCCAAAAAGACCATATATGGAGTCTTAGTATATAAAGGCTCCACCGTTTTTAGTTTCAGCCTTTGAAATTCATAGGACAGAAGTGAGAGAGAGAGAGAGCTTTATTTCAGTAAAGGGGCCACCGGCCCATTATACAATACATGATATCAGAGTTTGACAATTTCAGCGCCAATGAGAAAGTTATTACGCTTTTTAAAAGCAAGAAATATAAATTTAGCAAAAGCATTAATTATGCATGGGGTTTTAGATGTACAGTGTGTTACAAATTTATCAAAAGTTACTTTTGTGTAAAAATTATAAGGTAGAACCTTACGTCTCAAACTGTCATAGTATGGACATTGTAAACAAAAATGATATTCAGATTCCACTTCAGGTCTTACACAGAATGGACGTAGTCTCTTTGCTCTAGGTATATTGTACTTCCTTCCTTTTTCAATTAGCAAAGTATGACCAGAACATCTTAATTTACTCAGAGCAATACGATATGCACTTACTGGAATACAATCTAGATAATTTTCAAATACATTATATTGCTTAATACAAGAATGAAGGGAAAGTTTTGAGTAAGTTCTTAAACTGCTAGACGACTGTTGGTTATCTATATCAATACATCTTGTTTTAAAGTTTCAATAAAACCAATATGATTTACTCCTTGACTATTCCAAACATGGCCAAAACCATATGAATAAAGAAGTTGTTTTACTTTTAGTGCCCAGCAATTTATTCCTTTTTCTGCCAGATTGTATTGATATGAATAAGCATGGCTAAGGATTATATTAGTTTTTTGAGAAACAAGTCAGAGCCAATATTTGACAATACGAACATGTTGATTGACTTTAAGTGAATAACGTCCAAGCTCACCACAAGCATCTATATTTGGGACAAATCTCCCATCATAGGACAGAAGTGCAAATAAGTCTATTTATACACAGCTTTCAATGTCTTAAATACGATTTTTGCATTAATGATGTTACAATCTCTCAAAGTTGTACAAACCCATGAGACTTGCACTTCCAGCACAACATGAAACATGTTAACCCCAGCATGCCCACTACTCATAATTGGTTTTGTAGTTTCTATGTTATGTTGGGGGGAGTGGCTGGGATTTTTCTTTCAAATGCTGGAAAAAATAATTTGTCCTCAGGTTTTAAAATTAAAACAAAAACATCATTGGCTGCACTTTTATGGGTTTAATGTGTTGAGGTTCCCCTCCAAAATTGCTTAACTTCTCCTTTCAGAGAAACAGTGGTACATCCTTAAGGTCATGATACCCATAAGTAACTGGACAAGTAACAGCAAGGCTGGCGAAAATCAGTATTTGTACTGAATGTCCTGTTAGGTATGCATCATCTGACTTAAAGGGGCGGTAGGGTAGCCTCATGATTAAAGCGTTCACTTGTTATGCCAGAGACCCGGGTTTGATTCCCCACATGGGTACGTGTAAAGCCCATTTCTAGTGTTCCCCCATCGTGACATTGCTGGAATATTGCTAAGAACAGCGTAAAACAATACACTCCACCGGAATGAAATACAAGTAACAAAGTACTGCATGTTCAGATTTAAAATACAGCCTGATAGTTAAAATTAATAAATAAATAAAAATAAATACAGCACAAAATATGCTGCACGGAAATTTCATGCAGTACATTTGTAATGCATTAGAATATCTAACTTCGTGCATCAATATCCGTGCTGCATTTGTACTTGCCCTATGTTCACACTACTCATTCATTTTGTACGATCTGCTTGAGGTAGACAGTATTTTCTTATTGCAAATGCTTAGAATTAATGCATGAGCTTAAAATTTGCATTGCAGAAAGTAGGCCAGTCCAGTGTCAATTTGTTGCAGATAATCGACAGTTTGTCATGTTGATTTTTTAAAACCTATACATTTTGAATCAATAAAAATTTGTTTGAACTCATATATTAGCTGACATGATGATCAGCAAATAGAGCTGAGCGACTCATTTGTGACTGCGTGAAATCTTTCTGTGGTCGTTGCTGGCATTTAGGAAAAATGCACGATGTTCTGGCTTGAACTCCCACAACACTACAACAGCGGCACATTAACACACGACCGCCAACATGGTGTGTTGATATACCATTTAACTGACTGGTATTTTATTATTATTTGAAAAGATATTATCCTTAAATGTAAACTCTGTACTGGCAACAAAACTGTCCTGGCAACCTTCTAACTGGGCTGGTAACTTTTGTGTTGTCGGTCCAGCTGTCTCTCTAGATGTTTTGTGAAAACTCAACACTGCTATTTAGAAACAGTACTAAAATCGGTTTCTTTCAGGGGCATGTGTTTATAAAACTTATTCCACTGATGTGACAACATGAATTTCTAGGTTTGTGTGCATTCTCTGTACTGAAAACAAGATACCGTATTCGACGTAATAAGCGCCCAGGGCGCTCTCAAAATTAGAAATATGGGGCTCTTATTAGAATATTATTTTAGTGAAAAAAAAACAGAGTCGAAAGATAAATTTCGTGGTTTATACTGACAGCCTGAAATGTTTATATACGAGAGATACATATTTTCGGAAATTAATTGCCCATAATTAAGGGTGCATATAACAAACGAGTTCGTATTATAAGCGAATAAATAAGTGTTGTGTACACTGATCTATCGGAAGGGGTGCTAATTGGGATTGTTCACTGGCCAATATATTAGCAAATATCACCGTGGGCGCTTATTAGAGTGGGGCGCTTATTACGTCGAATACGGTAACCATTATATTGATCAAGACCCCACGCGGAGACATACAAGACTGTTATTTTGCATGTGGGTGGGAAAGAGTGTATTACTGCTATTTTGTCAATTGTATATGGAGATACTTTTTTGTTTGATTTGTTGTAAAACTAAAACATTCATTTTCTAGCCCATGTGACACTGTAATAAAGTTACAAAGTGGTGACAGCTGTTCCTGCATGCTGTAATGGCAACAAAACGTTGGAACAATTCAACTGATGATTTAATAGTCGTCACTGTATTATGTGAAATTGAATAGAAGTCTGTCAGGCTTTATGTAACATTCTTTTTACAGTGCCTATAGTTCATTAAATTTCTCTGTTGATTTACCTGAGTAATTAACTGGAATTACATCTGTCATGTCTGTTACAGCAGCAGTGTTACGCTTGACATGCACACTCTAGACATGTTCATGGTGTAGTGTTTGGTGAGAAGTGTTTTTTGTTGTTTGGCGGACAATGGCAGTGAGAATATGATGCATCATTCTCTAGATATGTACAAAACAGTATTTGGATAAGTCCATATCAATTTCTACATAAGTACCATGTCAGTTTTTACATAGGTTTCCGACATGTGTGAAGCCCATCCCTGCCGTGATATTGCTGGAAAATTGCTAAAAGTGGTGTAAAACCACACTCACTCACTCATTCACTCACTCACTCACTCACTCACTCACTCACTCCTCACTCACTCACTCACTCACTCACTCACTCACTCACTCACTCACTCACTCACTCACATGTCAATTTTCCATGTCAATTCTACCTAGGTACCAGATCCGTGAAGATCCGGGTTAGAATTGGTCTTCAGTAACCCGTGCTTGGCGTAAGAGGCGACTATGCTTGTCATAAGAGGCGACTAACGGGATCGGGTGGTCAGGCTCACTGGCTTGGTTGATGCATGTCATATCCCAATTGTGTATATCGATGCTCATGATGTCAGTCACTGGATTGTCTGGACCAGACTCAATTATTTACAGACCGCCGTCATATAGCTGAAGTATTGCTGAGTGCGGCGATAAACAACAAACAAACAAATCTACATACATACCATGTCAGTTTCTGCATATGTACCATGTCAATTTCTGTTTGTAGTTGGCGGCCATACTGCGGAAGAAAGGCAAGTCTTACTATTTGAAGAAACTTCTCCCTGAGACCCTGCAGTCCAGCTTCTTCCTGACTGTCAATGGAACGTTGTTCTTGTCATTCTTCTGTTTGTGGAGGTAGGAAAGTCCTCATATCTTCACCATGCGTTCTGTGCCTCGATATCACTAGCATACATTCACATTAGTAATGGTCAATAAATTCTGCTAGTTTTCTATCACATTGAACATTGCATGACTATTGGTATTTTAGTGGTTTAATAAGCAGAACATTTTGAGAGGGAAATAAAAAATATATTTTCCACTTTCATAACCGTCATGGCTTTTTAATGCAAAACACACTTAGAAGTAAGTGATCAATGTCACAGTACATCACACATGTTGTTCATCAACTGCAGGGATAGAACTATGATATTTCACTGACGGTTTTGGCTGTAAGTGGGCGATAAGTATACACATTGTATTTTATAAAATATGTACATTATAGGGCACTAGATATATACATTATAGACAAGTAGATATATACATTGTAGGCACTAGATATACACATTATAGACCACTAGATATACACATTATAGACCACTAGATATATACATTGTAGGCCACTAGATATGCACATTGTAGGCACTAGATATACACATTGTAGGCACTAGATATACACATTGTAGGCACTAGATATACACATTGTAGGCACTATATATACACATTGTAGGCACAAGATATACACATTGTAGGCACTAGATATATACATTGTAGGCACTAGATATACACATTGTAGCACTAGATATGCACATTGTAGGCACTAGATATATACATTGTAGGCACTAGATATACACATTGTAGGCACTAGATATACACATTGTAGGCACTAGATATACACATTGTAGGCACTAGATATACACATTGTAGCACTAGATACACATTGTAGGCACTAGATATACACATTGTAGCACTAGATATGCACATTGTAGGCACTAGGTACACACATTGTAGACACTAGATATACACATTGTAGGCACTAGATACACATTGTAGGCACTAGATATACACATTGTAGCACTAGATATACACATTGTAGGCACTAGATACACACATTATAGACCACTAGATATACACATTGTAGGCACTAGGTACACACATTGTAGACACTAGATATACACATTGTAGGCACTAGGTATACACATTGTAGGCACTAGATACACATTGTAGGCACTAGGTATACACATTGTAGACACTAGATATACACATTGTAGGCACTAGATACACACATTATAGACCACTAGATATACACATTGTAGGCACTAGGTACACACATTGTAGACACTAGATATACACATTGTAGGCACTAGGTATACACATTGTAGGCACTAGATACACATTGTAGGCACTAGGTACACACATTGTAGACACTAGATATACACATTGTAGGCACTAGATACACATTGTAGACACTAGATATACACATTGTAGGCACTAGATACACATTGTAGGCACTAGATATACACATTGTAGGCACTAGATACACATTGTAGGCACTAGGTATACACATTGTAGGCACTAGATACACATTGTAGGCACTAGATACACATTGTAGGCACTAGATATACACATTGTAGCACTAGATACACATTGTAGGCACTAGATATACACATTGTAGGCACTAGATACACATTGTTGGCACTAGATATACACATTGTAGACACTAGATATACACATTGTAGGCACTAGATATACACATTGTAGGCACTATATGTACACATTGTAGGCACTAGATATACACATTGTAGGCACTACATATACACATTGTAGGCACTAGATACACACATTGTAGGCACTAGATATACACATTGTAGGCTACTAGATGTTCACAGTATATACCACTAGATATACACATAGACCACTAGATATATACATTGTAGGCCACTAGATATGCACATTGTAGGCACTAGATACACACATTGTAGGCACTAGATACACATTGTTGGCACTAGATATACACATTGTAGACACTAGATATACACATTGTAGGCACTAGATATACACATTGTAGGCACTATATGTACACATTGTAGGCACTAGATATACACATTGTAGGCACTACATATACACATTGTAGGCACTAGATACACACATTGTAGGCACTAGATATACACATTGTAGGCTACTAGATGTTCACAGTATATACCACTAGATATACACATAGACCACTAGATATATACATTGTAGGCCACTAGATATGCACATTGTAGGCACTAGATACACACATTGTAGGCACTAGATACACATTGTTGGCACTAGATATACACATTGTAGACACTAGATATACACATTGTAGGCACTAGATATACACATTGTAGGCACTATATGTACACATTGTAGGCACTAGATATACACATTGTAGGCACTACATATACACATTGTAGGCACTAGATACACACATTGTAGGCACTAGATATACACATTGTAGGCTACTAGATATTCACAGTATATACCACTAGATATACACATAGACCACTAGATATATACATTGTAGGCCACTAGATATGCACATTGTAGGCACTAGATACACACATTGTAGGCACTATATATACACATTGTAGGCACTAGATAAACACATTGTATACCACTAGATACACACATTATAGACCGCTAGATATACACGTTATAGACCACAAGATATACACATTGTAGGCCACTAGATATATACATTGTAGGCTCTAGGTACACACATTGTAGGCAATAGATATACACATTGTAGGCACTAGATATGCACAATGTAGGCACAAGAAATAGACATTGTAGGCACTAGATATACACATTGTAGACACAAGATATACACATTGTAGGCCACTAGTTATCTGGAAAACAAACCATTGTTAAGGAGTAATGTCCTTTGTATATATGTAGACCTTTATGACAAGAATTGCCAAAAATGCAAGATTTCCAGACAAACAGGTTTTCCTCATGTTGAAATTCCACTTAACAGGATTGTACTCTTTGTATTTTAATCCATCTCTTCTGGACTGAAGGCCCAGCAGAACTTGTATAGTGTGCATTGCCTGTCGTTATCTCAGTGTTATGCAGCCCCATGTAAAGGGGGATGTTAACAGGTTTTGTCAGAATTTGGCCCCTGATGCTGCACTGGATCTCTGTTGTGAAAACTTGAAGTGCATGTAATCAACTTGAGTAATCAATCATTCCAGAAGTGTTGTGTTTAAATGAATTTGTTTTCAAAACATTTATCTGTCAGGTCAGGTCAAGGTCAAGTAGGTCAGTGAAACTTGTTTGTGTCATCCTTGGGACATAGCTGCTATCTGAAAAGGTAGTGAGTGACCTTAATGGTCAAGGTCACACTGAAGGTCTTTTATAAATATTTGGGTTTTTTTCACTAAAATACCTTTTCCAGAATGTAGTAGTTATATTATTGAAATACTTATGATGGCAAGTGATGACAGTCTTACGATGTCAGTACCAGGTCACCGTGACCTACTTTCTATGATTAGAATGTGCTTGAGGTTTAGGAAGTACCGATACTTGCAAACAGTTTTCTAGCTGTCTTCACAATGTTTTGCTCACATAAATCTGGCTCATAACAGGCCACCATGACAATCACCTAACCCATTCATGTACCGGTACTCTTCACAATATTTTACTCACATCAGTCTGGGTCAGACCGTGCCACACTGTCCATGAACTGTCCCTTCGTCAATTATCAAAAGGTCTTAAACTTTGCAAGGATAATTCAAGCAAATGTGTCTTTAAAAACGATTTTAATTGTGGTCATACTGTAGGTTTCATTTTGTTATATATGCAGTTTTTGTATTCTTTTCAAGTTTGATACATGGGAAGTATTTGATAAATGGATGAGTTGTAGATTCTGATGCATGATCGTTATCCATTCGTGCCGTAAAAGGCGACTATGCTTGTCGCAAGAGGCGAATAATGGAATCGGGTGTCAGGTTTGCTGTCTTGGTTGATGCATGTCATCGTATCCCACTTGCGTGGATCGATGCTCATTATGTTAATCACTGGATTGTCCGGTCCAGACTTGATTATTTACAAACTTTCTGAATAAGAAATACCTTCATTCAAAGTCTAGTTTGGTTTCCATTGTAGCCACTTTCAAAATACATGAGTAACTGTTTTTGCACAGAATGTTAAAGTTTGGTACAGGGTAGTATGCCATTGCTTTGATGTTATTAAGTTTTACTTACCAATACCTTTGTCATCCCTATCATAGAAATTTATTTGAAGCCAGGTGAGCTACAGAGCCAGGGTTATGTTTTCAAAAGGCAACAAGTTTTTTACTTGTTCTTCGGATTCCCCACCTCAGTCTTTAGATGTAAGAATTTGTATTTGGCATAAACTAAACAGTGTTGTACTGTACTGTAACCAAACATTTTGAATATATAACATCAACTACAGAGAATAACCAGTCTTTATTATCTGTCGAAACAGATTCCATTGGGCGTAAAAGGCAAAATAGAGGTGAAAATTCCATGCTTGCCCATGCTTGCTGTAACAGGCGACTATGCTTGTCGTAAGAGGCGACTAACGGGATCGGGTGGTCAGACTCGCTGACTTGGTTGATGCATGTCATCGTATCCCAATTGATTGATGCTCATGATGTCAAACACTGGATTGTCTGGTCCAGACTTGATTACTTACAGACCGCCGTCATATAGTTGGAATATTGCTGAGTGCGGCTAAAACAACAAACAAACAAACAAAACAAAACATTCTTTCCTTGAAATGTTGAAGCAAAAGCTCAACCGTTTGAAAATTCAGTTAACAGTTCATTAGTATTCTTCCATTTGCGATGATAAACTTTTGAAATTAATTAAAATTAAAACATGTTATTGGGTTCAGAGATAAGAAAGAAAATAAGTTGCGTTCTATCTCTACTGACAAAGCCCGAAGAACAAGTAATCAATTTGTCAATAATGATGTGTTTAAATGAAATTATTTGTTTCAGGAAATTAGCTGGCTGTTACTATTACTACAATGCATTTATATGTGGAATACCTGCGTGCGCAGTGTCGTTACTGATAGAAAGAAAAGACAGGTATCATACAATCATCTCATTCCATCGTACACCTGTAGCCAGGTCTAGTCTGTGTCAGCATCTGCCGCACAACGCACAGGGGGCACTCGTCGGGGGGGACACTGTACTTACCATGTCTGTGTTCACCTATATGATTCTGATGGAAAGTAGTTATCGGAAGTGCAATGCGATCATGCTGCACTTTGAATAATTTATGTGCTAAAACATATGGCGACAATGATGATACATATATCTGGTTTCCGACATTGGATATAAGATGTTATACACAATGCACATGGGGTGTAAGAAGGTAATTATTTAATTAATAGAAAGCCTTAATTCATTTATTTTGGTGGAGACAAGTAAATAAAAAAAAACCAATTTCGTGTGACACATTAGTGTAGTGGGTGCTGCTCCTGTTGAAGTGCCCCCTGTCTGGGTTCTGTGCCGGATGTGTGTGTGTTGTGGCTTCTGACAACCAACCAACTTGCTGTTGTAACAGAGAGATTCAAAAGTTCATTATTTTCTTGCTACATCCCCACCACCAGCCTCTGAACCCAATAATCACACTTTCTGGAGGTGACAGAGGTTGGGGTTTGTGCAGTTGGTTTGTTGTCACTTCTATTCAGGAATGTCGCTTCACACGTTTTGATCTCTTTTTGTAATAGAAAACTTATTTTGTTTCTTTTGACTCTCCAGGAAAATCTCGGGCCGTTTTTATTTCAACTCCCCTTTTCTCTCGGCGTATTGTGGCGCCTTTGTAGCTATTCTACTGGAACGGAAATCCAGGTATAGTGAATGTTGAAATGTATAGAACACAGAAAACTGTCAATAATGTTACGCAAAGTACAAGTGTAACAAGATCAGTTAAGAAAATTAAAATCATACTCCAATTGTTGCAATTTATTATCAGCTTATGTAATGCTTACTTTTAGAATAGATTTAGTAATGTGCTTTTTTGAGAAGAGTGTGAGATATCAAAATTGCCATCAGCTACTGGAATTTAACATTTTATGACTTCTTGGCTTATTTTGTGCAAAATATTATAACAAGAAACTACTAATCATGCTAATCTATTTGAGAGTTACACTGATCACAATTTATGTTGTTTTTTAAAATCCAACAAATGGTGTCAGGATTGTTCTATAAAGATGACCAGGATTTTGTTGGCTTGTAAGGTTCATTGATCCAACAAAATGAGATGATAAGCAATACACCACAGCATGAAGCATTTTTTTCTTCACATTAATCATAATGAAGTGGTAAATGAAATACCCAACCCACCCGTCCACACCCCCATCAGCACCCCATCACCCAATCCCAAACCCCCGCCAGCACTCCCATCAGCACCCCTACCCCCCATCCCCATCAGCATCCCTATCCCCCATCCCTATCCCCCATCCCCATCCCCATCCCTATCCCCCATCCCCATCCCCATCCCTATCCCCATCCCCATCAGCATCCCTATCCCCCATCCCCATCCCCATCCCTATCCCCCATCCCCATCCCCATCCCTATCCCCCATCCCCATCCCCACCCCTACCCCCCATCCCCATCCCCATCCCTATCCCCATCCCCATCAGCATCCCTATCCCCCATCCCCATCCCCCACCCCTACCCCCCATCCCCATCCCCATCCCTATCCCCATCCCCATCCCCCATCCCCATCCCCCATCCCTATCCCCCATCCCCATCTCCATCAGCACCCCCCATCCCTATCCCCATCCCCATCCCCATCCCCACCCCCCATCCCTATCCCCATCCGCATCCCCATCAGCAACCACAGCACCCCATTCCCCCAACCCCACTAGCACTCCCATCCCCCAACCCATCACCAGCACCCCAATCACCACCCCTTAGCTCACCTGACTAAAAGTCAAGTGAAAGTCTTGTTGTGTTGTCCGTTTGCATTAGCTTCTGCATTTACGACATCTCTGAGACTCCTATAATCTGCTCACATATTGAACATATCGGTTTTGGCCATTATTAAACCATTTCTTATGTGGTATATTTCAAAATATGGTTCAAGTGTCCAAATATTATTTCTTCATAAGTCAGGTGAGCTACAGTGACTTGTGACTCTTGTTTTATAATTGTTATCCTATCATGTAGTTTAATGACCAAGCAGGCCCATTACCACATAGAACTTCTTCTAACACACTTTGCCCTTTTTAAGGTTTTGTAATCTTATTACCATATTCGACGTAATAAGCGCCCAGGGCGCTCTCAAAATTAGAAATAGGGGGCTCTTATTAGAATATTATTTTGGTGAAAAAAAACAGCGTGAAAGTTAAATTTTGTGCTTTATGCTGACAGTCTGAAATGTTTATATACGAGAGATACATTTTTCCAGAATTTAATTGCCCATAATTAAGGGTGCATATAACAAACGAGTGCGTATTATACACGAATAAATAAGTGCTGTGTACATTGATCAATCGGAAGGGTGCGAATTGGGATTGTTCACAAGCCAATATATTAGCAAATATCGCCATGGGCACTTATTAGACCGGGGCACTTATTACATCGAATACGGTAACACTTTTCCTCCTGTTCACTTAACATTTGTAATCCTGGTCACAGCACAGTCAAGAGCACAGATCTTTGTTGAATAAATGGCTGTCCCTGGCAGATATAGGCTTTATTCAATGGGACCAGTTATCATGTATTTCACTCTTTTTACTTAATCCTTCATTAATTACTTTTTTTCTTTATGACAATTTAAGCATGTATTTTCAAGATCTACATTTGATTAAAATGGCGCAGGATAATGGTTTGGTTTTATAACATGATTCGTTATATGTCTGTGTGTTTTGTTTCAATCTTGTCATATATACTGCTCAACTTTTGATAGGGATAATCAGATTTGTCAGATAGTTATGAATGGACACTGGATTTATAATCAGTTTTGTGTATCATGGAAAGATTAAAAATATCCCAGTCAAAAGTGGAGTAGTATCTGTTTTTGTCATAAGACAATTGATGGAATGTATCATTGATATTACATCATCTAGTGTTGGGGGTAGTGTTCCTTGTATACCTGCCACGGCATTCCAGCGCAAACCTCGGATTACTAGGAAAAGTGTTTCCGTGATTGCTTGGAGAGTGAGTGTGTGTTGATTGCAGAGATGTCAGAGGGTTTATGGAAGTAGGTGTAGCCAAGGTTAAATATACTGATTATTTGGGCATCAGACTTAGGTGCTCCCCCCCCTAACACATACCAACTACCCTGGTACCACACCCCATCTACCCCTATAACATAACCTATTTATCGGGTGCTGCACCCGATCCACCCTATGTTTCCTGATACCACACTCTATCCACCCCAGCTGAACACCCTGACCGTCCTGGCTCCACATTCTATGTTTCCTGATACCACACTCTATCCACCCCAGCTGAACACCCTAACCATCCCGGCTCCACATTCTATGTTTCCTGATACCACACTCTATCCACCCCAGCTGAACACCCTGACCGTCCTGGCTCCACATTCTATGTTTCCTGATACCACACTCTATCCACCCCAGCTGAACACCCCAACCATCCTGGCTCCACATTCTATGTTTCCTGATACCACACTCTCTCCACCCCAGCTGAACACCCTGACCGTCCTGGCTCCACATTCTATGTTTCCTGATACCACACTCTATCCACCCCAGCTGAACACCCTAACCATCCCGGCTCCACATTCTATGTTTCCTGATACCACACTCTATCCACCCCAGCTGAACACCCTGACCGTCCTGGCTCCACATTCTATGTTTCCTGATACCACACTCTATCCACCCCAGCTGAACACCCTAACCATCCCGGCTCCACATTCTATGTTTCCTGATACCACACTCTCTCCACCCCAGCTGAACACCCTGACCGTCCTGGCTCCACATTCTATGTTTCCTGATACCACACTCTATCCACCCCAGCTGAACACCCTGACCGTCCTGGCTCCACATTCTATGTTTCCTGATACCACACTCTCTCCATCCCAGCTGAACACCCCAACCATCCCAGGTCCACACCCTATGTTTCCTGATACCACACTCTATCCACCCCAGCTGAACACCCTGACCATCCCGGCTCCACATCCTATGTTTCCTGATACCACACTCTCTCCATCCCAGCTGAACACCCCAACCATCCCAGGTCCACACCCTATGTTTCCTGATACCACACTCTATCCACCCCAGCTGAACACCCTGACCATCCTGGCTCCACATTCTATGTTTCCTGATACCACACTCTATCCACCCCAGCTGAACACCCTGACCATCCTGGCTCCACATTCTATGTTTCCTGATACCACACTCTATCCACCCCAGCTGAACACCCTGACCATCCTGGCTCCACACCCTATGTTTCCAGATACCACACTCTATCCACCCCAGCTGAACACCCTGACCATCCCGGCTCCACACCCTATGTTTCCTGATACCACACTCTATCCACCCCAGCTGAACACCCTAACCATCCCGGCTCCACATCCTATGTTTCCTGATACCGCACTCTATCCACACCAGCTGAACACCCCAACCATCCCGGCTCCACATCCTATGTTTCCTGATACCGCACTCTATCCACCCCAGCTGAACACCCCAACCATCCTGGCTCCACACCCTATGTTTCCAGATACCACACTCTATCCACCCCAGCTGAACACCCTGACCATCCTGGCTCCACACCCTATGTTTCCTGATACCACACTCTATCCACACCAGCTGAACACCCTAACCATCCCGGCTCCACACCCTATGTTTCCTGATACCACACTCTATCCACACCAGCTGAACACCCCAACCATCCCGGCTCCACACCCTATGTTTCCTGATACCACACTCTATCCACACCAGCTGAACACCCCAACCATCCCGGCTCCACACCCTATGTTTCCTGATACCGCACTCTATCCACCCCAGCTGAACACCCTAACCATCCTGGCTCCACATTCTATCCACCTCTGTCCCACCCGGTACCACATCTATCTACCCAAGTGCCACACCCACAAGGTTACACTAATCCCCCAT